GGGTCGCGGTCTCTCTGATCTGAAGCGCCCTCTCCAACATCTCCACGCCCATGGGAGATCCGCGGAGAGTTGCTGCCATAAATCCCCAAAAAAGTGCACCAAAACCCGCGCCCGCGGTCCATGGGTCCCGCGCCCGCGACTCTGAGAAAAAGAGTAGAGTCCTCTCCAAGCCCTCTCCATGAGACTTGAAACTCCTTTACTTGGATTTTTTTGCTCCTCTTGAATCCTTTGCAAAGCTAAGTCTTTAGGCACCTACAAGAGAAACCAAGGAGATAAAATAGAAGAGAAAAAGAGCAATATAAAAGGAAAACACGAAGAAATGTACCTAAAGGAAAGAAAAACACGAGAAAAGAAGAAATAGAAAAACTAGAGGAGAAATGATCAAAATGGTAAAAGAAAATCATGAACAGCATAATAAAAAATCCTAAAACACTACCCTGTGAGTGCCATAAATGACACTCATCAAATTCCCCCAAGCTAGTCTTTTGCTCGTCTCGAGCAAAACAAAAGCTAATAAGGAATAAGGATGGCTTTTTAAGAAAAGATAAAGTGAAAAGAAGAATATACACTAAGACTCACTAATGTAGGAATCACAGTTGTTTTTAGCTACAATAAGCCCTTTAAACCCCAAAGTCGCCTAAAAGGACGAGTGAGGTCTCGTAAGGGTTTCCTAACTGCTTGACCCACAACTCTTTAAAAGAAAATTGAGGCAAATTCATTTAAAAAAAAAGGAAAAAAAAAGTTCAAACAAATAGCTCTTTACAAGGACTTTCACAAATAGTCAAATGCAAATGCATGAACACTTTTCTATAAGGAATGACTATGCATGCTTTAAGATATACGCGGTTGATTGAAACATAAGGTATGCTAAGCGGAGAGAACTAATGAGGCGCAATCCACTTTCATTCCAACCAATCTAGTCGCGTTCTCCTATGGTTTCAAATTTTCCCTAAGTGAGTGTCCCTATGGTTCCTCGAAGGAACCGAAAAATGAGTAGAATTTTTAGGGTTTGCCGACATCTTGACCTTGCATCCCTTTTCCTTAGGACTTAACTCATAATTCCCTCCCTTGGTATATGACTCAACCACTAGGTCGAAAGCACTTTCCCAAAGGTTGTAACGTAAGGGTAAAAGGTTAGGGGTAGGCTAAAATTTTAAAATTTGGTGGTTTCCCTAAAAGTTAAGAAAATAACTGGCCCTTTCTTAGAACCACAATCAAGAAATCACCAAACAAAAACAAACTAACACCCCCAAGCTTATTCAAAGTTATATCCACAAGTACATATACAAAAAGCATAAATGCTTCTCCCCAAAGCTAAAAGGAAGCATTGTCCTCGATGCTTGAAAAGGGAAGAGGAATTACATCAAATTATTTTTGAGATTTTCTCATTTTTACTGTTTTTTTCTTTTTTTTTTTTTTTTTTTTTTGTCTTTTTGCTCATGTTTACATAGTCGTAAGTTCCCAGTTTAGTGCCTATGATAGAACTAGGGTGAATATGGGGGCCCTCCCAATAAGGATAACAAAGTCTAGGACCCACATTAGGATAAAAGGCTCCCATTGAGGGATAGGTCCTTGTTGGACCAGGAGGTACAGATAGTTGACGTAAGGATCTATCTAACCCGTAGAAACATGCAAATCATATAATCGATACATATGGTAATCATAACCAAGGGAAGGGGGTTGCAAAGAAGGCATGAAGTACAACATGTTAGCAATAGAATAAAGCTTGGCATGAAATGTTGACATATCGAAAATAGAAGGAGTGGAAGAGGGGGAGGGAATTGATGTACCTCCCGGTTCAAACGGGGAATGGGAATGAGCAATCAATGATCATGCATTTAGTTGAACGATCTCTTGTACAATTTGTCCTTCGTCGGATAGAGGGATGAACATCTCATATAGGGGCCCTCCATGACAAAGAATCTCTCTCCTCGGGAGAAGTAGTTGCCTCTTTGCAAGGGATGGAAAACCATTCCTATACCGAGAGACCTTCCAAATAAAAACATCTTCCTTCCTCGTTCGATCAAGAAATTTTTGATTCACTAGAGCGGAGATGTTTAAGAAATGTGAGGGGGACTTTTCTCTAGGATCAATAATCTGTGGAAGCTCATCTAGCATAGCCTTGTCATTCTCATTGATGCAAAGGGTTAGGATAGAAATAATTCCACCCAATTGGACGCATCCCTAAAGGCAGACTCCATCATGAATATTCAAGAATCGAGAGTTCAAACGCTCCGTTAAATCCACCGACTCGATCTTAAAGTCATTTTGGTAGGCTATCCACAACCAATAGAGCTCCTCGCAAGAAATAGCTCCCAAAGAGTTCTTGGAGCAAAGGGCGTAAGTGAGGATTCGGTTGAAATATCGCATAGCCGGATGAATCATTGAAGCGGATTTTGAAGTTTGAGGGTCATACTTTCCTTCTTCTGAGATACTCCTCCACCAACGTTGCTCATCATATCCATGCTCACTTGCCATTCTACTATGATCCGGAGAAATACAATGATCCGGATCCTCGGCCTAAGGAAAATTGAAATATGAACATAGTTGAGCATCCGTCAAAGAGTGATCATTGGTGAAGAGTAGGAAAGTCAAAATCTTTGAGTAATTTGCACCCGGTTCATGGACAACCTCGAGAGAAGAAATGAATTCATAATTCACCCTAGCATAGGTACGGGCATTCAAATCCAAGAAGTCCAAAAGATCAAGGCCTTCCGCAAGGAGGCGAAAATCCTCGTCAATCACTAGAAATTTTGTTGTCGTTTGATCATAGAAACGCATTGGCGTAAGCTTTCTCTTTGAAAGACGTTTGAAGCATTCCCAATTAGATTCCTTTGAAAACTTAATACCATAATTTTCCTCAACCTATGGTAGAGGCGGGACAATATACCTTGGCTTGCTTGAACTAGCTCTAGCCGCTTCTTATGACAAAGTATGGCCATCTACAAAGTATCAAGACTAAGCATAAGTAGTTGTTCAGCAACAAGCACAAAATGGAAATATTTCACAATAGAAGCAAGAAATGGTAACAAATGAGCAATGTCATTGATAACATCATGAATATTAAGCAAATAAACATGGATTTAAGGCAAACTTGAACATAAGAAACCAGATCATGAGTCAATTTGAAAAATAAATCCCAATCATTGAATCATCAAATATATGAAACTAATATAAGGAAAAACCCATGAAAGAGAAAGTAGCCAACAATTATTATTCAAGAATTCAATCAAAGTTCACACATTTATCATGAGGAAACTTCAATTCTACATCTAATGATATCATTCAACATAAATTTTAACTGAAAAGTATTAACCATAGAGTTCCACCATGAAAGCATAAAGGTTCAAGCTTAAATCAAAGATGAAGATGATGAATAGACAATAAGAAACCATACTTCAATGAAGTCTTGAAATGCTTGAAAAATGCTCATAATGTAGATCTATGAACAAATAAGATTCCCAAAAACAACCTCCAAACCTTAACACAAATATTCAAAATTTTGAAAAAGACACAATTTTTTTCTTGCTTGAATTGGGGAAAGAAATCTAAAAATTTATTTTGTGTTTTAGATTTGAAAATTTTGATTTTGGTAATTGAAATTGATGTTGAAATGATAGCAAAATAAGTGAAGTAGGCTTGGTATTGCAAGAGAGGGTATAGGGTTTTAGGAGGGAAAAATGAAAGAATTGAAAGAGAAGGTGCGTTTTGGGGTTATAGGGCTTCCAGCAGTGCCGCGCCCGCTCCTGATAATGCCGTGCCAGCAGGTAAACTACGACCAGCCCACGAGAAGTTCCTGGTCGGATTTTGGCATTTTCGCTGCACAGGTATTCGAGCCCGCGGGTGTGCGAGTGCGTGCAGCTTGGTGGGCGCGCACCCCACACTTCTCGGGATGGCACTAAAAAGAGAAATACCCCCTAAAAAGCGTGTTTGTGTTTGCATTCTCATCGTCCCTACCAAATGTCATGATCAAGGACTCAAAAATTTTATAAGAAAGAATCCAAAATATGTTCGAACATGAATATAAATCGATGGGAATGCAAACACGAGACCATATTACCTCGACAACCCCCTTCCTCTAAGCATAACCAAACCTCACGAAGTCTTGAATTAGGACAAAAATTGTTGGAAATTTTCTCCAATTAAAATCCCATGGTACCTAAAATCAAAAGAACAAACAAAGATAGAGAGATATGAGAAAATTTCTCAAAGGAGGAAATAAAAAAAAAAATATTAGATCAAAGAAAACGGTTAGAAAATCGGGTTGCTTCCCGGGTAGCGCTTTTGGTTAACGTCGTTAGCTCGACGTCCTCTACCAATTAAGGTGGTTGGCAGAGAAACAATGAGTCCGCCAAACCAAAAAACAGCATTGTCAAAATACTTCATTAGACGATTGCCTTTAGCCTTGAACGGAGAAAGAAAATCTTTCATTGAGACTTCCACAAAAATATTTAGAAATTAAAACCACCCTTGACCGAATTAGGACCACTCCATCTTGATCCCTTGATGCTAAAGTGTGATGGAAAAGGTTTGACCTCAACAATTGATACACCTTCACCTTCCTTCGAAGTTGCGGCTTACAAAGCTTCTTGGCTTGAGATATTCATGCATATATGCTCATCCACTTCCTCAATGCTTCCATTAAGCAAATCTTCAAATAATGTCACTTCCTTGATAGGAGCACCTACCTTATCCTTATTCAACAAGATATTCTCAAGAGGATCGTTAGAAGTGAGCAAGTTCTCATGCATGGAAGATACAACAAGATCAAGAGAATCGATCAACATGCAATTTTCTAAAGATGAACATGGATATTTCATGCTCTCATTCAAGTCAAATTCAATAACCTCTTCTCCTACCTTGAGTGAAATCTTTGCACTCTTAACATCAATCATAGCACCTGAGGTAGCAAGAAAAAGTCTACCAAGAATAATGGGAATAGTAGCATCTTCATCCATTTCAAGCACCACAAAATTTACCGGAATTACAAACTTCCCTACTCACAAAGGAACATCCTCAACCTTCCCCTTGGGAATCTTAATTGACCTATTGACCAATTGCAAGGTAATCTTAGAAGGCATAAGTTCACCTAACTCAAGTCTTTGATAAACCGAAAATGAAATTAACCTGACACTAGCTCCTAAGTCACATAAGGCATTATTAATTTTCATCTTGTTAATGGCACAAGGGATAGAGAAGTTTCCGGGATCTTTCAACTTGGGTGGCATCTTGTTCATTATTATTGCACTACAATTCTCGGTCAAGTTGACCGTCTCCACCACATCACAAGACCTTCTACCACTCAAAATGTCTTTGAGAAATTTTGCAAAATTAGGCATTTGGGTAACAACTTCGGTAAAAGGTAGAGAAAGATGAAGTTGCTTAAACATGTCAATAAATCTTACAAATTGTTTATCCAACTTATGTCTCATGAATTTTTGTGGATATGGAAGCTTGGGTTTCACAATATCTTTTTCCACTCTCACCTCTCTAGGTGTCTCAATCAAAACCTCACTCAAAGATTCATCGTTTCTCTCATCCTCTACCAAGACCTCCTTAAGACCCTCCTTAGTTCCACTCTTTCAAGGCAAATACTCCTCAAGAACCTTACCACTCCTTGTAACAATAGCATTCACGGGTCTTTTGGATCTAAGCTTTGGGAAGGTAACGAAGAAGGACTAGCATTGTCTTTCAAAGAATTAGCAAGTTGAGATATTTGGTTTTCAAGCATCTTATTATGATTCATCACTTCATTGAATTTCTTGTCACTTACGGCCATGTAAGTTCTCAACAACTTTGTTTAATTTTCAATGATTTCCTCCAAATTAGTCATAGAAGAAGAGGATTGTGAATAGGAATTATCAACTTTAGTCTTTGGAGCAAATCCGGGTAGAGGGCCTCTTTGAGCATTACCTTAAAAATTGCCTCTCTCTTAACTGTTCCAACTACCCTTATTTTGATTTTCACCATAACCTTGATTATGGTTATCACCACCTTGATTATGATTTCCATAACCTTGGTTTTGATTACCGTAATTTTGGTTTTGATTTTGGCCACTATAACCTTAATTGTTATAGTTCCCTCGAGAACCTTGGTTCCTATAACCACCACCTTGGTTATAATTATTGTCAAAATTTCCACGGTTTTGGTAATTCCTATTCCATTGACCCCTTTAGATATCAAATATTTTCACATTAATATTGTTTGATACAGAGTGCACATGTTCACTCTCATTATTGTCAAAATCATTATTACTCTGCAGAAAAGCATGAGGGCAATTACTAGAATCATGATCATATTAACCACACACATCACAAAACAAACAACCACTAGGCATGTTACTAGAAGAAATTAAAGAGGGGGATGAGAGTTAGAAGGATTACCTCTTCCCTTAAATTGGGAGGGAAGACTTGAAGCTTGGGAAGAAGAACTCTCTAATTTTTCCTTGACTGCACTTACTTCCTTCCCCAAGTTTGCCATTTGTGAAGAGAGATTGTTAATTACATTCAAATGATTAACCGAGTACACCGTTTCTCTCTCAACATCTTGCCAATCTCTAAAATACTTCACAACATCCTCAATGATGTCCACCACTTCTTCTTCAGTCCTATTCATGATGGGACCACCGGCTCCTCCATCTAGGCATGACTTGCCTTGGGACTTAGGCCTCCATAGAATATTTGAATAATTTGATAGGTTGGAGTCCGGTGGTGAGGACACTCCCTTTGATACTCTTTATACCTCTCCCATGCTTCATAGAGGCTCTCACTTGGCTTTTGTTTGAAACCTTGAATCAAAGCACTTGCCTCCGCCATTTTCTTTTGTGGATAGAAACGAGTTAGAAATTCCTTTGTAACCTCGTCCCATGTTGTTAGAGAATTCGGCTTAACCTCCTTGTCTAGCCATTCCAAAGCACACCCAATGAGAGAAAAGGGAAAGAGCTTCAGGCGGATGGATTCTTGGGAAACTTCATTCACCTTGGTAGAATTGCAATACTTTCCAAACTCCTTGAGATGATTTCGCGGGCTCTCATGCATGGCTCCACTAAATTATCGCCTTTTATCAAAGTGATCATAGCTGGCCTAATTTCAAAATCATTTGCCGATGTTGTAGGTGGAGCAATTCCACTCTCAAATCTATATGCACTGGGAATCCCCAATTCTTTCAATGTTACACTCAAATTCTCTCCCGTTCTTGCTTGTTCCACTTGTTGCGGTTCTTCTTCACTTGAAATGCTAGAGCAAAAAGATCTCCTAGCAACCCTTAGCCTTGTGATAGTCCTCTCGACCTCCGGATCAAATGGCAAAAGAGAACGACCACGTGCTCTATGCATACAACTCAAATTAAATTTTTAGTAGCACGGCTACAAGTGTAGCCTTAAAGAGGAAAATCTTTTTGTTGTTTTTATATAATGAAATAGACTCAACAACTATAACAAAGCACCAATGTCATTCCCCGGCAACGACGCCATTTTGACGAGGGGTAAACTAGGTCATTATCTAATCTTCTATGGAGGCCTAAGTCCCCAAGGCAAGTCATGCCTAGATGGAGGAGCTGGTGGTCCCATCATGAATAGGACTGAAGAAGAAGTGGTGGACATCATTGAGGATGTTGTGAAGTATTTTAGAGATTGGCAAGATGGTGAGAGAGAAACGGTGTACTCGGTTGATCATTTGAATGCAATTAACAATCTCTTATTAAAGAAAGAAGTGAACCCTTCATTTTCCTTTTGCTTTAGCATCTCAAATTGTTAGTCTATTTCTGTTATGGGTGTTTTTGTCCCTCGGGAGAGCTACCACTCAAAGACTTGTTGGGGATCGCCTGTACGTGCAACACAACGGAGACTCCGGGAGGATGGAGCTCTGTCTCCGACAATCAAGTTAGAACATGTAGGGGTGAGTAAAAAGTTAGAAAAAAGATAAAGGTGAGATCTTTCTTGGATTTCGAGATCAGGAGATTTCTCTGATGTAAGAGAATGTCAGTAATTTTGTAATAAATTCAATCTGTCCCACAAATGGGGGAAATCTCCCTATTTATAGGGTCGTTCTTGATAAGAGTGCCCTTACCTAGGTAATTTGACCTAGAGTTAGTGGGTTGTCGCGCTTTTGGCAGCTTTTTGGGAATTGGGCCTTGGAAAGCCGTCATTCCTTTAGATGACAGTGGATTCCACGAGTCATTTCGTAAGTGGCCCAATTTAGGCCAATATAAGATGGACACGTATTCTATTCTCATTGGACCACGTGGCGGGGTAATTTTACCTAAAACATTTGCCTCTCACAGATGTGACGTGGCTAGCCACGTGGCATCTGTGACACGCGTCTCTCACACAGTGGTGGAACCGGAATTACTGTTCACCTTTTAGGGAATTTACCAGGATGCCCCTGAAGTTACCCCTCTATAAATAGAAACTTTTCCCTTCTCATTTTCGCTCATTTACGAAAAAAGGTCTTGAGAGAATCTCAGAGAATCTTTGACTTTTCTTTGAGAACAACTCTTTCGTCTGCCGCTTGCCATTTGTCGCCTAACCCAGTCGGCTTTTCAACTTCAACACTACCTCTTTCAGGTAACCGCCTGCTCTTTTTTCAATTTCCTTTCAGTTCGCCTGTGTTTGCTTCTTTTCTTTTTTGAAAATGGTATCACAAACACACACGGCACGACCTAGGGTCGCTGTCAGCCGGTCACCTAGGACGGCTAAATCTAGAATTAGGGGTACCGCTTGTCCTAAACTGCTCTCGCCAACGAATCCTTCTGTGTCTGTGAAGGAAACTATAGCTAGATCAAAAAGGATAGCCCAGCCGCCTAGTGATGAAGAGGACGAGGGTCCAATCATGGTGCCCAGAAGCGAGGTTTCTTATTACCCATCGGACGTCCCAATGATGCCGACTTACTCGATTCTGAGTGATTCAGAAAATGCTTCCAGCGAAGAGGCATCCGGCTCTGGAGAGGATTCGTCTCTATCGGATGCTGGCTCAGGCGGCCTCAGGAATGAGGGAGATCCTCCTGTGAATGCTGAAGAAGGCTCTGAATACGAGGCCGCCTCTATTGAGCGAGGCCAGAAAGAAACTTCTTCCTCTCTTCAAGAAATATTTACAGCTTACTTCACCCATATATCCGCGTTTACCCAGAGACTCATGCGGAAAAACTTGGATGATTTTCGCAACACCTATGTCATGGGTGCCCGCTATAAGATAAACATTCTGACTCTTGACGATTCGGTCGTCTGGCCGCTTGACCAGAGCTTTAGGAATAGGTGCTTTGGGTGCTATGCGACTACAATACAGACGGGCCTTAGGTTTCCGCTAGATACGACAATTGAAAGGATCCTAGACAGGTATCGCTTGGGGATATGGATGTTAGCACCCAATTCTTGGGTTAATATTCTAGGATTCGTAGCCGCCTGCAGGATGCAGGATGTTGAGCATAGCTTTGAGGCCTTCACCTATACGCATTACCTTAGCAAGGCTCCTACATTAGCTGGCCCTGGATGGTTCACCTTGTCATGTAACTAAGGTTACATGATGACTTTAGGGAAAGAGAACAAATGGAAGGATTGGAGAAACAAATTTTACATTATCTCTTCCCCTTATACCATCCGGAACTAGACTCGTGGAACCAAAATCCTTATCTCCTTAGTCAAAAAGCTATTCTCCCGCCTGTGTCTGATGAAGGCTGGGACCAGATTTTGACGCCTGGTCATTTTACAGTTGATGTGAAAACTATTAAGGGGGGAACCAAGAAAGAGATTACCCCTAAAAGTTATATCCCATAATTCAATTGGCTAACATATCCTTTCTTTTTGGCCGCCTGTGGCCTTAGCACTGAGAAAGGAAGAGGTGGGCAGCCGCCTGAGTCTTTGCATGGCCATTGTTTCATTATTCATCATTTTTTTAAATATTTCCTTCGGCCTTTTGCAGAAGAAGCCATGTCTCAGCTTAAACCGAGCAAAAAACCAGGATCAAAGCCTCTACTTACCGCCAAATAATGAAGCACAAAAACCAAGTATTCAAGAGAGAACAGATTGAGCATGTAAGCTTTTCTTTATACGTCCTCTTATCATTGGCCTTTTTTCAAACTTCTTATTTTAAAATCAATTATTTCAGGAAGGATCAGTGAAGCCACCTATGCTACCAACACTTGGGGTGAGGCCCCCGAAGCACCTAGCTCCAGATGAGGGCCAGACTCCAACTAAAAGGAGGAAGACTGTTTCTCACAAGTCGTCGGCAAGCCAGTCTGAGTCCAACCCCTCTATAGGCGGCAAGTCGCCGGTTGTATTGGATGCCTTAAAGCGGGCGAAGGAGTCTAAGACAAAGGATGAAACTCAAACTGGGGCCACCGACTCTCCAGGTGGCCATTCAGACAAGCGGATGGACAAGAATGATCAGGATTTGGTCATCATCCCAGGTACCTCCGCCTTTGATCCCTTACCTTACCCTTGTAAGGTTAAGATATACAGCCATTCGTTAACCCAGTCTGAAACCAGTCGGTCTTTTGGCCGGATCTATGCCAGCCTCTCTCCATGTATTGATTGTGCAGATGCTCCCCAGGTGCAGGGGGTTAAGCGGATTGCCAAGCACATGCTCGCCGCCGTCTCTGCTGATCAGCGCGACTCTATCAAAGGAGTCGGCTCCCTGAACTTTAACACGCTATCCTTGCGAATTTGGCAGAGGTATTTTTTAAGTTATTTTCTAACTCTTGCCTTTGACGATTGTATGCTAACCATTTTTCTTTCTACCGGGTGCAGGCCATGCTGAGAGTCAATGGTCTTAAAAAAACCATTTGCCGACAAGCAGAAAAAGGTAAGAGCTGCCAACTTAAGGGCCGCTTCCAATATTGATAAAGCTATGTTTGATGTAAATAAGATTGAGTTGTTGACTCAAGATATCATATACTCACACGCGACTGCAAATTTGCAACACTACCACAAAAAGTGGAAAAAATAACTCATGATACAGAACTGTTAAGTTGTATAGGCGTTCTCTAGAAGTAAATGAAACGCCTATGATAGAGAACAACTTTATAAGTTGAATCAAATAAAACGCCCCTAAGTAAGAACAGTTAAATATTTTTTACCATAATTAAAATATAAATAAAATAAAATATGGATTTACATTACAGAACGGTGTTCTAAGTTAACAGTTCCCCTTGATTTGTCAGTTTATATTTTATTTCAACCACCCCACTATTAAAAACCTAATTCTCCTAACTTCCTAGTGCCCCTTAATTAGCTTCTACCGCCTCTTTCTCCATTTTCTCTATAACTCCTCTTCTTCCATGGATCTTTACTTGTCTTCATTCTTAGATCCTCTATGCTTTTTTCCTTCTCCAATAAAATGCAGAGGTTTTTCTTTCTCTATTTACTTCCTCTCTCCACCTTCCAATTAATTCTTTTTCCCCCTTTTCATTCGAGTTTCAATTCGAAACCATTTCCGAACCCATGAAGTTCTTTAAACGCAAATCAAAACCCACGAATTTCTTTCTCCATGGCAAACGATTCCCATGAATCTCATCACAATCAGATTTGTTCTCATCTGATAATGATTAGCCGGAGAAACCTAAGCGCCACTAGCACCAACATCAACGCCATCATTGCCACTACCACAATCGTAGAACTCCAT